GAGAGTTAACAACTCATTTATTATCATTTTAACTCATAATTTGGCCTTTAACCTCTACCAACAGATGGGAATTAAGAATAGGATTACCTTCCCAAAGGTGTTGCAAGGGTAAACCTCAGAAAATTCTGCTGATCACTGCAAGGATTGCTTCTGTGCATCAGGATCCTTACGGTCAACCAGCCTGAGTCTTGGACAACTCCAGTCAACCTGCTACAGGTGAGCGGCAGGAATCTGTTGGACTGTATCTTCTAATTGACTGATGGACTGTAGCATCCAAAGGCTACAAGGTATTTACCCCACCATTAGATTAGACTAGTGTAATGTTCTCTGTGTGAGGCTGCCCTTGGGGCTTTGATTCAGGAGCTGCAGCTAAGGCAGAATGCAGCCGCTAGGTGCCCACTGAGATGCCAAGCTCTGCTCACACAGTCTGTGTTAGAAGAACTAACCTGGCTGCCTATTAGCCACCGGGCCGTGCTTAAGGTCATGCTGCCAACAAACAAAGCCCTAAACAACTTGAGACCACTTTCCCTTTCAAGTGATCCTTATGTAAGATTGCCAGAAGAGGCCGTGCTGGTTATTCCAAAATTACTGGAAAATTGCAGTATGATACTGCAGTTGAAGCTGTTTTGGGAGTGTGAATCTGTGGGATACTAAGGGCTTGGATCCCCAGGCTCCAGCCTCTGTCCTGATAGCCATGAGTCCAAATCCCTAGTGAATGCACCGAGCATCGGTGAAAGCGCCCAGCAGGAAGTAAGGCTGTGCAAGTGACTTCCATGCACGCGACGTGCCGCCTTTGTGCAGCACATACTATGAAAGCGTGTTGCTGGTTGTGCCCTAGACTTCCCCAAGTGCTCCTGGGCTTCCTCAGTCCAGCTTGCTTCCTAAGTGAGGGGTGAGCAAGAGACGTCCAGAGGACAGATGGGGATGGATTCCTGGATGGATCACTGCAGCTGTAGCCTCAGTGGTGGGCCTTCTTGGTACCGACACCCACCCTGTGGAAAATTCTCCCGTGGCAGTTCAGGTTGCAGAAGAGTGGCAACTGGCAAATGCCTCCTGGTAACACATTTGTGCATCCAGGAAATCACTGGCTTGTAATTAAATTAGCGAAGCTGCTCCACTCTGCTGTTCCTGGACTGCTCTGTAATATTATTAATGTATTTGAAATTGTTTTAAAACTGTAGATGAAATGCAATTTTAACATAAATATTTTAAATGTTATTTTAATATGCATATGTCAATTAAGTAGGATCGTTTAATACTTAGGGGCATATAAATATTACAATCAAACATACAAACAATAAGTGACACGTCTCCAACCTGTAAGGAGAAGGGCACGGCAGAGGATGAGGCGGCTGGATGGAGTCACTGGGGCAGTGGGTGTGGGCTTGGGTGGATTCCGAGGGACGGTGGAGGACAGGAGAGCCTGGAGGAACCTTGTCCATGGGGTCGTGATGGGCCGGGCACGACTTTGCGACTAAACAAAAAACCCCCTCCAGCCTGTGCAGATTTTAATTGCAAACTGCTTTGGCTGAAAAGTGGTGTACATGTATTTCATACCACATGACTAGTAGTCTTCCGTATTTTTGCACTGTGCTTATTTGCCTCCGGCTTGCTTGCACTAGTCACCGTCTTGAAGTGTGCTATTGCCACCCTGATTATCAGCTCTAGAAAACTTTCCAGATGTTTGGAGGTCCTCAGTCACTCATAAAGTGCCTGTATAGGTGAGGGTAACGGTATGATATCATGTCCCACCTGTTGCAGGAGCTTGTCTGCAAATGCCTGCAATATATGTGCACTTGTACTTGCCCAGGCATCCCTCTTTGATGCTGGGAATCCTGAGATCCTGATCACGGGGAGACGTGTGAACGTATGAACAGCCATGATGGGTCAGACCAAGGGCCCATCTGGGCCGGCCTTCTGTTTGCACAGGGTCCAAACGGTTGCCTGTGGGGAACACAAAATAGGGCATGGGTGCAACAGAACCTTCCTGCTCACGTTTCCAAGCACCTGGTGCACTTAGGCATTCTGCCTCTCATACTGGTGGTAGCACATTGCCAATTGGGACTAATACCCACTGATAGCCTTCTCCTCCATGAATTTGTCCCATCAATCACCTTTTAAATTCCTCCAAATTGGTGGCCACCCCTGCACCCTGGGGGTGACTGTCCTGGACTTGACAGGAAAGTCCAACTATGCACTGAGTGAAGTCTTTCCTTTGATTAGGCCAGATTCTCCCATGAATCATCTTCATTTATATATTTATATTCCATTCCAATACATTTATACCCATGTTTTTCCTGCAAGGAACCCAAGATGCCTGATGTCCTCCCCCTCCTCTCCATTTTTATCCTTTCAGCAACCTTGTGAAGTAGTCTAGGCTGAGTCAGTGACTGACCTAAAATACTCAGTAAGCTTCATGCTGAGTGGGGAGTAGAACCTGGATCTCCCAGGTCCCAGTGCAACCACTTAAGGCCGTTGCCCCCTCCCCATTTTCTCCCCACCTTGCATAATCTGGCACTTTTAAGCATGAATATCTGGGAGCACATTGCAGATATGGCCATGACTGTGGCCAATGAAAGAGGCAGGGCCTGGCATTCCCCTGGTGTATACTTGCTTGAGGTTTTTGTCTTCTTTGTATGGGCAGATACTTTGCTAAGAGTTCCAGAGAGAGGAGTGTGGCTTCCACCAACTTTCTATATTCTTTGCACTCTCTGATCTTATCAATAAGTAAAAAGGAAACTTGAACTTTTAGTGAACCCCTCTTTCAGGCTTTTTTAGCAGTAGGGAACTTGCTTTCTGGGTTTTAAAAAGACCTCTTTGCCAAACATCAACAAAAAAGCTGGGTTAAGTGATACAGCCATTTAAATCAAAGATTCATCCAGCTGGAAGGTGGTCTGTGGGAAAACAACAGTACCCTAAATCTAACAATGAAGAGAAAGTGCACTTGATGAACCACTAATTATAGTAACTGAATTAAGTGTAAACATTCTTAGAAACAGTGTCCTAATTAGAGACCTTGAAGTTAGTGAAGAGAGTCCTTGAATAAGCCACATGTGTTTTTACTAGATTGAACGTATTTATGGGGGTGGGGGAAACCTGTGTGTTGCTCAAAACTAATGTCTATCAAATCAAAAAGATTCCTTCCTGCAAAAGTTCTGACAAGCACTGCAAGGTAACTATTGGATGAGCTTAATCCTTGCAGAGTATACTGCCATATACAGGATTAACGTAGTCTCCCTTTCTATCTTCTACTTTGTGCATTCTTCATCTGGGTTCACACGATATGACGAGAAACACTTGGCAAATAGGGATCAGCCAGCAGCCTCAGAATACCGTTCCATCTTCAAAGAGCCAGATACCAGAAGGTAATATTAAGCAGGTTATTTGCAAAAAATGCCAACTCACTTTTCTGGAAAAGTGGGAGGTTAACACCAGCGAAACTTACAGCATTTTATTCATATTATTATTTTATTTATTAATTTATATCCTGCAGTTTCCTCTTCTAAGGGACCCATGGTAACTCACATAGACCTCCTCCTCTCCGTGTTAGTTAGACAGTCAAAATGGCTTACAAATCACCCAGTGAGCTTCATGGTAGAGTGGGGACTAGAACTCAGATCTCCCAAGTCTCAGTGTCAGTCCCGAGTCTCTAACCAATGGACCACATCACATCTCTTCACAGAATTAAGACTGCAAAGAACCTCACAGCTCCGTTTCCCGAAGAGTTAGAATTGTGCTTGAACAGAAAGTCAACATTTAGGGAGGGTTCTGAGATAAAACTTGCTTGCTATTTTTTGCATTTGGCAGGTCAGGTGGGATGGGAGGTTTCCCAGCATTAGCTGGGAGTCTGTGAATAACCTTTTATGCCATCACATCAGTTAAGACTCCAAATATCAGGAGGTCTGTTGCAACAAGCCCAATGCAATGTATAGTTCAATATGCATATGATACCCTGACTGGCAACCTCTGGGGCTTGTGGGCCAATTTGTCCCCCAACCCTGGAACCCACCCAGGGCTGCATCCCTGCTCAGCCCCCCAAAATTACTAGCGTACTGCTGGCATAAAAGGGTCTATTGAGCTTTGTTCTGAAGTTTAAACAGGTCCTTTTTGACTGCCTTATTGTAGAATTTAGGCAAGAAAGTGCTATCTTTCCCTGTTGCAAATGTGACAGGAGTGGCAGGGGCAGTAGGGGCCACACAGAAGGGCAGGTGGGCTGCATACAACCAAGTGGCGTTTGGAACGATTCAAGTATGATGGACCACAGAATCCAAGTAACTTCTCGCGATGGCTGTGGACTTCCCTCCTTATCTTCCAATGCTGATTCTTTTACTGGGTTTTGGGATCCCCTTCACTTTTCAAGAATACCCATCAAAGAGTATCTAAAAACCATTGTGGGAGGTTGGTGCCTCCTGCCAGTGCTGCTGTCAACCCGATTGAAGCACGCATGGTTGAGGTGGAAGGAGCTGGGCAATGGCTGGCAACTTGTGGCTTCCCCACTCTCTCTGTGGCCTCATCAGTAGCAGAGGCAGCTGAGGAAGAAGAGGAGGTTGGTGCAATGGCGAAAGCCACCATGGGATGCAGCAAGGGAGAGGAGTTTTGTCTTTAGCCTGGGCACAAAGCCAGCAGGGCGATCCCAGGCCTTAAAGCCCAAGGTAGAGGAGACATTTCTAGGTAGGAAACACCTGGTGGTAAGTCAGGAACTGAAGGATAAGAGAAAGGTGCTTTTCAGCTAAGAAGTTCCTCTCTTGGTCAGCGAAAGAGCACATCTCTCCTCTCCTTCGGTCATCCTGACAAGACTGAGCGTGGACTGAAGGGGGCAGAGAAGATTGCAACTACAGGGCACCGGGAAACTGTGAGCTCTTCTTGACTGTAAGGGCAAGCTGGACTCCCACGACCTTCTCTCAGAGGAAAACAGTGAGCTTCAAGGACCTTTTAATTCCATTCCTCCCACCTCCTCATTTGCCAGCTTCTCCCAGTAATTATTTCATGAAACAATAAGCTGAGTGTTAAAAATTGTATTTTTGTATTTTAGAAGCTGCTAGCGTATGCCAAAGCTTAATGTTACCTGCAAATATATACAAAATTAGGACAAAGTCATGTGCCTATTGATTAAGGAAAGCATAGACAGCAAGATGGCATTTGCCTTCTAGAACAAGAGAACAATCCACCTTTAAAAAATCTGTTGTACACAGTTAGAAAGAGACTCTCAATTTCTTTTAAAGACATCTGTTAGAAATATTCACTTCTGTTATAGATAGCTGAAAATAAATGCATTTGTCAATAGTATAAGTTTTTGTACAATTTGCAATGCACAACACAAACATACATTACAAAATAGATATTATATTAAAAATAAATGTAAATATGGAACTTAAAACAGTTCTGGGTGTTACTGTCAATACTTGCAAGTATCCTGTTTCCCAATATCTTCACCTGAAAAGTTACAAGAGCTAAGATAAATGTGTAACATCAGTTTTCTTTTATATCAAAGATAATTTAGAATAATAAACAGACAAAAACACCGTCACCAAAGTTTGAAAATAAACTTTTATTATGAACTTAGCCTTCTTTCCAAATTGCAGACTTAATGCTAAATAATTGTCCTTCGATTTATGGCAATTATAGTTGTTCGTATGCTGTAAATAGCCCAAAGCATGAAAGTAATTTTGCTTGAAGAAATGTGACTTCTCTTGCAGAAGGAAAAAGAGTTCAACTTTGTCCCAAATCCCTTATGAGGCTCCTTCAATTTGAATTCGTCAAATTTTACGTTTTTTCCACTCTGGCTTGTCATCCGTTTCATCTTCGTCTGATTCCACTTCTGCAAAAACTGCTTTTGGCTGGGTCCTAAAAGGGTATTAGAGGAGAAAAATGATTAAACAGGAGTTCTGCAGAACTGAACAACTCCATGGGCCTGGGTGGAGAGAAGAAATCCTGGGCATAATTGTTTTCCTTTTATCAGTCCCCTATTAAGTGATAAACATTGTAGGAAGAAAGGAAGATTAAAGAGCTGGATGTCATCCAGAGGTGCTGATGAAATACATTCTCCCTCTGTCTGCCATGACCAAACCCCAGGGAGGCAGCTGAGACCCATGACCATTGCCTGAAGGCAGCTTTGGGATGCAGGCAGGATAAATTCAAGCTTAATCTCGCTGGGAAATCTGTTGGCTGGAAAATCCGCTCATGCTGATGGGTCTACTCTGAGTGAGGCCAGTTCTTTTGGGCAGTCTGGAAGTTGCAGCTGGACTTGGCCACTTCTATGGAGATGCAAGTGGTGTTGTTTGCCAGGAGTGCTTTTTTCCCAGCAGAGGCTAGTTTGGCAGTTTTGCTCCTGCCTAGAAAAAGATAACTTAGCTAGTGTGAATCATGCCTTGGTTTTGTCCAGGTCCAATTACTGCAATATACTGTACACAGGGCTGTCCTTGAAGATGTTTTTGAAACTGCAACTGGTGCAGAACACAGAGGTTAGAAAACTTGTGGGAGCTAGAGGCTTGGATCATAAGCCACCTTGAGATTTCAGAAGCGGGTGGCATAGAAATGGAAGTATAAATAAATAAATAAACCTGCTTTGGCGGCATATTTGTTTCTCAGCTGAATTCAAGGAGCTGATTTTGGCTTTGAATGCCTTAAATGGTTAGGGTCACATTACCTGAAGGATTGCGTAAGCCTATTTGAACACAGATCAGTGGCAAAGGTCCTGCCGTAGGTTGGCAGCTCCTTTCTCTGTAGTGGTCTCACACCTTTGGAATTCCCTCCCTGGGAAATACAAATGGTGGCATACTTGCCCACATTCAGATGTTTAGGATGCCATCATCACCAGGTGCATGCCTGTGGGACCACCTATTGTACACTATCTTCAGTGACTCCCAATTTGCTTTCAAGTCTCCAGGTGTTGGTGGGTACCATTAAAGGCCTAAATGGCTTGCGTGCAGGATGCCTGAGGAATCCCCTCTTCCTATACCATCCTGCAAGCTTCCTAAGATGGGAAGAAGAGGCCCCTTGTGTGTCCTACCTAGGGTGGAAGAATGGCTGATTGGCGTTTTATCAGTGATTGCACCAACACTATGGAATGTCTTGCCCTGTGACGCACAGACCACCTCCTCTCTGACTGTCTTTCTGCCAGTTTTTATCTGGACAAGCTTTTGCCTCCTAAGGGTTTGCTATTTTATGTAAAGGTTATGCTTTTCCTTGGGTCCCTCCTCTCTTTTTCTGTTGATATAGGTATGGTAAATCTTTCTTTCAAAAATAAATGCAATATTTTTACTAGGTTATTGTGATTCTAAATTGTTGCAAGGGATCCTAATTAGTGTATAGGTAATAGAAAGGTACCGATGCACTATATAAATATTTATATGTGTCTACATTTTGTTGAATCCTGCAGTACCTGAGACAATTTTAGCTGTTGCTGTTCTAAATGGTCTTTGGAATGGTCAAGATGGTAATGGATTTTTCATGTGTTTTAGAGTCTTGGAACCCACTTTGTTCCAAGACAGTACACTGTAAAGGCTGGTTTAAACACATTTTAAAATAATTCAGTAATGTGAGAAAAAACAGTCTTTCAGATAATCCCGGTCCAGCATATGCAGGGTTTTAAACGCTTTCAATTAAGCCTGAAGATGAACTAGGCTAGCAAAGATATTTCAAAACTAGCATGTTGTGTTTAGGGCAATCAATTTAAGTTCCATGCTCAGTCTAATTATTTAATTGTTATCACTGCTATTTTTCAACCTTATAGGGTTTCGATTTTTGTGGGAATACTTTTTAAAGTGCTCACTGTCTAGGTTGCACCCAGGATAAGTGTTACCATCTCACATCTCACCATCTCACATTAGCTACACTATTGCTTGAAAGAGGAATTTCTTCTCCTCATCACCTGAACACTGCATATTTTTCAGTTGGAATATAATTAAGATGGCAGGCAGAAGCACACATTTTTAAAGTGCATGCATCTCATGAAAGTTATTAATAAATTACTTTTACACTGTATTTTGACAGCTACCAGAAAACAAACACACAAAGAAAGAAATCTTTCTTATGATAAGCTTATGGTTGGCTTATTCATGAAGAAACATCTCATCTAGCAAAACATGACTGCATACTATCTTGATAATTATTTTCATATGAAAATATATTGTATCCAGCACAAAAGTTCAGTCCAATCTGATCAAGATGTTGCCTGCATTATTACACCAAGTTCTTGCTGGGCATTTGTTTTAAATGATGCTACACTTACTAAGCTACTTCTGTGTTCACTTCCAGAGACACTTTCCATTTCAATCAGACCTTAATTATCTTTCATCCCAAAACACTTCAAGCAGCGCCAGCTTCCATGATGAGTTTGTAAGAGGCCATCTGAATAGCACTTTCTTAGACTAACTCAGAGTCAAACATCATCCTGAAATAAGAGGTATCTCAGGCTCATGTGATATGACCAAAATTTCTAAAGCCCCAGATTCAAGGAAAGGAATGTTAGAAGAAGCAAGCTTCTGAATATATTAATGGGGCAATCAACTGGATGCAAAGACAGCATAGGGAAGCTGATTCTGGGCTGTGGAATCAGAAGCTTTCAGAGCTTGGTTGCACAGAATAAGCAAGTCCTCTGTGACTATTTCAAAAATCAGTCAAGCAGTCCTCCTCCAAACACTCAATGTCCAGGCTTTAGAAGAAATCTGCCCTTCATGGTTAAGGCATTTCTCAAATAACTCACTGGAAGTCATAAGACCCACAAAAGCATCATCAACAACAAAACCATTTAACAAGTATTATACAGTATTGAAAGCAAGATGTAACCAAGAATAGGAGAGAAAATGACAGATTAAGGGAAGACTGCTCAAAAAGTACCGAGACCTCCAAGAACCAGAAGGTATTTTGAACGTGACTACAAATACAGTGGATAAAAGGAAACTGGCAAGAATAGCTGGCACCATGCCATGATCATGTGAATGGAGAGAGAGGGCAGGAAACTCCCACTGCAGCTCTAGAACTTTCTAAGTAACATGTTGCACTAGGATATTCCAAATAATGCTCTGCAAAAGTTTATCACAGATAACACAAAGAAAAAACATAAGATAGTTACCATAAAAGTGCATTGTGGCTGACCATCATCCAGCATGTAATTAATAAAAAGCAAGCCAGAAGAGCTTTGGCTTATGGGTAATATTATTTTTACAACATTAAAGGAACATAAAGTATTAAGATTCTGCCATGTCAATAAAAGTACAAGTTTGTTCTTTCATCTCTTGTTAAGAACTGCTTTTGATGTGATAACGTTCCAGGTCTGGAACATGCTGCTTCTGATTATGAAGCAACCTACCTTCTACGTGCTGCAACAGACAAGGAAAAGGCACTGGAACAACTGGATATTTTGGGACTTGCTTATAATTTATCCTCCACTGGATGCAGCAACAGCAATCCAGGCATGGAAGCAGTCTTCTGTGTGCATATCGCTCTTTATTATGCAACCTGTACGCACAGAAGTTTGTTGAGCAGAGAATAAAAATGGCACATTCTTCACCCAGAACAGAAGGTGTTTGATCCCTGTTGGATTATGCCAACCAGCAACTCCTAACACACAGTTAGTGCAGGAAGATTTGATGGATCAACCGACTGGCACATCATAACGCTGTCTCCTCCACCTGACCTCCCCATCGCTTGAATGCTGCTGCATGGTGGCCTAGCACTGATGGAAAATTGGGCAGTGCTCCATCAGGCCATCCTGAGAAAAAACACCCATCTTTCTGCGGTATTTCAGAAAAGCCCATCAGTTCAAATGCCTTCGGGAGATTTCAGAGACATAGGTTAGCATTGCAAACACCCTGGACCAACAGAAAGACAAACAATTGGATCATAGATAAAATCAATCCAGAGTTTTCTCTAGCAGCAAAAATGACAAAAATGAGGCTGTCCTACTTCAGACACTTTGTGAAAAAGTAAGAATCATGACGTCAATAATGTAAGAGAAAGTCAAAGGCAGAAGACAAAAGGGAAGACCAAATATGAGATGGATTGAATCCATAAAGGAAACCACAGCTTTGAATTTAAAAGAGCTAAATGGGACTATCGTGGATAGGGCATTATGGAAGGCTTTCATTCACAGGGTCACTATAAGTCAGAGACAACCTGATGGCACATAACAACAGCTGCCGCCGCTTAGCTTTTCAATTATTATTACACACTTGATGGGATACATGCACAAAGAAACAATGCTGCAGGCAAGTGGTGTGGCCAAGCAAAGATATGATATGATATGATATGCACGGATAAACTGCAACTTTCATGGACATGGGCCTATGAACCTTCTCTAAAGGAAACCCTGGAAATGCCACATCAATTATTATGCTCATTGACCTATGCTATCTACTTAAGTCTGGGAAAAAAGCCTGCACCATATTTGAGAGAATTTCTAATCACTGCAGACGGGGACTGCAGCCAAGAAATTAAGAGACGCTTGCTGCTGGGGAGGAAAGCTATGGCAAATCTAGACAGCATACTAAAAAGCAGAGAAACCTCCCTGCCAACAAAAGTGCATATAGTCAAGGCTATGGTTTTCCCATTTGCAATGTATGGCTGTGAAAGCTGGACCATAAGGAAGGCTGAGCACCGAAGGATTGAGGCCTTTGAATTGTGGTGCTGGCGGAGACTCCTGCGAGTCCCCTGGATCGCAAGGTGATCAAACCGGTCAGTCCTAGAGGAGATCAACCCTGACTGCTCTTTAGAAGGCCTGATGCTGAAGATGAAACACAAATACTTTGGCCACCTAATGAGAAGGAAGGACTCCCTGGAGAAGAGCCTAATGCTGGGAACAATAGATGGCAAAAGAAGAAGGGAGAGGCAGAGGATGAGGTAGC